CACTTACGGAACATTATTAAATAACTAAGGTTTCAAAACAGTTACAGTTAAACTTCGTTATCTCGAGGTTGACGGGACCGTTGATGAACTTCGAGATATCCGGGGGTTCGACATATCGAGGGTTATAATTCAAATGAACTTCAAATAAACTTAGTGCAGTGAACATGTACTTAATAGTAAAAACATGTCAAATTCCTTCTTGTTTGAAATTCTGTATACGATTTCTTTAATAAACATGTACATGTATTTAGCAATAAAAAGATTTTTACATCCTCTTTATAATTCACAAAATAAAAAAAACTTTGTATAATATGCACAGAAGTATGATCTTTCTACCAACGCGGCATGTCAACCGCTAGCATCGTTTCCCATGTATACATAACCGGATATCGTCTATGCATTGTAAATTTTAAACCGGTCGCTGTCAGAATAACGAAAACGAAATATACATTTTCTTTTAGAAGAAAAGCATGTTCATACATGTATAATCAGTTAAAAGAAAATTATTTTACCATAATAAAATCAAATGCAAAAGAAAAATCACGCACTTTTGTCTAACAACAGAACAACACTGAATCACAGGGCACTATAGCACAAGTTTTTACTGCAACACACGCTCACATGATGGTGTGTATGGACGATTGTAAATTCTGCACGCTCATATATAGGGAAAAAAAATATGCGCGCATATTTCACATAGCATTAAATAGCGATTATCAAGATAAACGTACCCAAGCCACAAAATAACGTGTTATCCACGCGTATGCATTAGGCCAATACACACAACCTTGGCTTGCATAATCAAAATCAGGGTAAGCCATACATACACTTCATATAATTATCGCGCTATTATTTGTTGATCAGAGGAACACAGGTAACCCGTGCGTGACAGACAGGTGGGTGTTATCAATAGAGCGTCCAGTTTACCTAACAGACTTGATCATCAGTGCGGAAAATTATCCTGACTTCGAGATAACGCATGTGATTTTAATGAATGGGTACACAATTTTACTTCGAGATAACCGGGGTATTCGACATTACCGTGTTCGACATAGAGAGGTTTATTTTAATCATTTATAAAGCAAATTTCGTCGGGACCGCGGCCTTACTTCGACATATCCGGGGTATTCGAGATATCCGTGTTCGAGATTTCGAAGTTTAGCTGTATTTATTTTATATACATGTGTTAGTATGCAGGATTCGACACTAACGTTAGTCCGTTAGTCTCAAACTAATACATTTTCATTCGGACTAATAAAATATGTGGCTAATTAGTCCGAACGGACCAATAAAAACTGAAAAACAATATGAATAAATTACCGATGTCCGATTCTCGACAACTTTTACTGGAAAACCCCGCGTGTATTTTTTAGATTTCTAGCTTTGGCGGGTAGTTACGCAAAAGCCAGGTCAATTCAGCGCTTAATTTTTCCGACTGATCGATATGAAGTATAAAGTGTTAGCGATCATGATTTAGTATGACACTTTTAAGTAAGATGTTGGATGTCTGCATGTAATGTAAAGACAAAAAAAAAAAAAAAAAAAAAAAAAAAAAAAACGAGATCGGGAAAACGATCGTAATTGCTGATTGCGAGATTTCAATGAATCTGTGGTATAATATATTTCACGTAAATACTTTGTTTATTTCAAAAAATAATACGTATATTAATTGTCACGTTAAATTATTGTTAAAAACATTGATGTTTCTTTTTTTTTGACGGACTAATAAAATCGCGTGCGGACTACTTAATGTAATGAAGCACTAGTCCGGCTGGACTAAAGCCTGAAAAAGTTAGTGTCGAACCCTGGTATGGTAGTGTATGATACACAGCTTCTTTAATACTGGCTTAGGCTTGTGGGTTAAACTTGTACCTCAATTGATAGAACAATGGACTGGCTTGCCAGGAATGGGTTCAAATTCAGTCAAAGACACAAAATTATGTCTCTAGTACATTAGTGTTATAATCTTAATATATAAATATTAATTTTTTAAAATGTAGAGGTGGGATGATATATCGATAAACCAATACATACTGATATTTTCTGGCTTAGATATGGTTTATGATACATGCATTGAAATATCGGTACGAAACGATACATGAACGACCTATCAAAAAATTGAAAATGGCTGCTTAATTGTACAAAGTGAAGAGATGATATTGATATTGTAAATGCTCTTTACATCTAATAAGTCATAGATAAGAGGGAAAACATTTTCACTCTTGAGCATCCTAGGAAGATGGTACTGTACATAGAAAAGTTCAGTATGTAAAGCATCAAAAAGTATCGTTAACAGTTAATCGTAACAACAGTTAATATTATTTTGTTAGTGGCCATCTGCACCAACAGCCAATAACAAAGCTTGGATTGAAATTTTGAAACAAATTGGAAATTACCCTTTTTGGAGAAATTGGGAAAATCAGCTGGGGTCTGTGGGCCACTTTCACTGGCAAGCCCTGCTGGGGCAGGCCCGTAGGAAGCAATTTCACTTTGAGGGGGCACAATCATACATTTTCAGTTGAAGGGGCACTATCAACTACCAAAATTCCCTGACAAGCAAAAAAAAAAAAAAAAAAAAAAAAAAAGGTCATCAGACGTTATTATTGAGGGGGCACAAGCATATAGCAGCTATGTTTTCTATAGTGTTCTATATATCGGCAAAATTATTGGGGGGCACGCCCCCCCCCCCCCCGGTTCCTACGGCCATGTGGGGGGCCCAATTTCAGCATTTTAATGACATTTAGAGTGCATAAAATAGCAAAGTATACCATATTTCACATCTGATGAAAATTTTTTGAAGGAAAAAAAATTATTTGTGCTTTTCATTATTGTAAGGGGAATTTTGTACGCATCAAAAGGGGAAAATGGGATATTAGGGGAAATTTTCTCTTGAAAAATAGGTCCGAATATCGGTAGTAAATATGCCCTAGAATATTGTTTTGTAAATTTTTAGTCAATGAAATTAATGAACTTCAAGTATCAATTTCAAAGCACATTTGATTTGAAATAGAATCTTGATTTATTGTCAAAGACATTGAAATGAAATACTAAATTTTTGTATCGCCTGCAGAGCAGAGCGGCACTAAGAGATCACTTTACCTGGCATCTGTCTGTCCTTCTGTCACACCCTATATCTCAAGATCTGTAAGAGGTATGGATTTTATATTTTGCACATATATTGCTTGGCACTATGGCTTTTGTAAATTACCATGGTTACCGACCTCTTGACCTTGACCTTTGACCTACTTTTCAAAATACAATGTAGTTCATAGGGCCGATTTACAGCATATTTTTGACATTTAAGAGGTATTTCTATGCCATTTAGCATGTTTGTCGTAACACAATATGAAAAATACCAGCAAAAAATACTTCGGGAAGTTTAGTTTAATTTATGACTTCTGAAATTTGAGAGACAGGATTTTGATAATTAGCATTTATACATGTTTATGAGCTCATGATACTGTAATTTGAATCTGTATGATGTTCAGTTACCACATATTTTAATTAAATACTATGCAAATACATCGGGATCGTTATTCCACAATGGATCATGTTAAGACTCTCATGTTCATCTCTTTTGGAGGATTATTGGAAACACGTTTAGCTCATGATAAAGTACTTTGAAAATGTATGAGGCCAAGATAAATAAATAGTGTGTTTCTTATTCCAACCCGAGAAAAAATAGGGTAGGTAGGTAGGGAAAACATTTTATTTTATTTTAACACCTAAGTGATCGAGATTAGGATTTCTAATAGTGAAGAGGAATTGTTTACTTCTGGAAAGATATCCGCGGATAAATTTTTCAGGGTTGGCTCATATATTTTAGGGTTGATGGGGAACCGGAAACGCACAATTTATTTATCTAGGCCTGAAATTCAGTTAACAAATATGTAAATAGTTACAATGAAAATACATTGGGATCGGTATTCCACCATGGATCGTGTAGAGTGACAATTGCAGTAAGGACAGACTGAAATCTGTTTTGGAGGATTAATTGTTGGAAATATGTCTTAATAAAATGATAAGTAGATATTTCTAATAATTAATTAATTTCAATTAAATTATTCATTTGAGGGTTAAAGAACCATATTTTCTTTGATTGTCAGATTCTATCAGAGTCTTATACTATCCATTGGTGCCAGTTTTTCTCTGCAGGCAAATTAATGCATGTATTGAACTATCATGCTAAAAGTAAATAAAAAGCTGACCAATTTTAGATTTTTGTCACCTTTAAGGAAGCTACAGCGCAGGCGACACATGTGTTCCTTGAAACACTCTAGTTTTAATTTTATAGTTTTCATATATATTTATTATAATATTGAGATACGTATCATATCATGTTACTTGTTTATGTATTGAGATACGTATCATATCACAAGATCTACCTGTTTTGTCCCACCTCTATAAAAATGTTTGCTTTTGATGAACTCAATTGCTTTCAAATTGATGGTGATCATCATATAGGTACTCATTGAAGAAGAAAAGAAGAACCGGGAAGACCTGTTGTGTACATGATACTTAAATTTGCACCAGTCTTGCAACTTTATTTGTTATCGACATGAACAATATTTCAAATTTTTTTTTTTTAGAAAAGGTTGAAATCTCAAAAGTTCAAGGGGTCACAATCTTTAAATTATACCAGTACATGTATTTTTTTTAAAAAATGTGAAAAGTTTAAACAGTACAAAAAAGATTAATGATTCAATCCCAGATGTCGGACTTGATCTCGCCCCTCCAGATAAAGCAAAATGTATTTTAAAACTATCTAAGTTGATGCAAAGATTACATATTATATTTTATTTCTTAACTGTTCTTGTGTGTCGAGACAAGGTCAGTTGTATTGAGAGCACTAACAAATTATATTTGCTATTGGGGTAAAAAATCAGGTGTTGAGTGATGTAGACTTTTCTTGTAATCATGGGTAAAAATATACACATATACTGATGAAAAAAATTCAATTAAATTGTGTAATGCAGATCAAAACTATTATTGCAGATTTTGGAGTTTTCACAACAAGAGCAAACTTAAGGTGACTTTATTCTTGAAAATGTTGGAGACTGAGAGGCAGATGTGTAAACAGACAACTCTGCATGGAATTGGAGGATACAAGTATATAACTGAATGCATTCTGTCTGGATTTCTGTATGGTGACAGAAGGCTTTGGTAAGTCAAGATTACAGTAATAGATCATAAGTAAACAATTATCATTTAAGTTCTCATTTTGAAATCTATGCTTCCATTACCATAAAAAAAAAACATTCACTGACTTCATTTGCTGACCTTATGGTTATTCAGTCTTTGAAATGCACTTTTTTTGTTTTCAATCGATCTTACTTGAAAGGAAACTCCAATTAACTCTGTGCTAATTTTAGCCCTTTTTTTCAAATGAAAACCTAAGTCACTCACTGACCTATTTGCTATCTGCTTTTGTCCATCCTTCTTTAACATTTGAATATTTTTAGCTTCTTCTCTGGAACTGATGAACCAATTTCAACCAATATCTAATATGATGAAGGGGAATAAAAATTGTGAATTTCATTATATCTGCCACCCCCCCCCCTCCCTTTGGCCTGAGGGATAGGGCTAAACTTATTAAAATTATTTCAATCTTTTAAAATCTTCTCTTTTTTTTACTACTGGAAATTAAGCAGTTAAATTGCTGCTATGGTTGAATAAGCATTAAGCCCTCTGTCAAAATTTTGAAATTCATTGCCCCAAGGTCAGGGGTTCCGGTGTAAGGGTGGAGCTCCATTGATTAAATATGGTAAAAATGCATTATTTCTTTGAAAATATTCTTCTCTGCTCCTGGATATGAAGCAAACAAACTAAGTACAAAGTTATGATGAGCACCTCTTCCAAAATTATTAATTTCATGGCCCTTGGGTTGTGGTGTTAGGATGGGGCTTTAGTGATAATTATAGTGAAAATGCATTAATTCTTTGGGAATCTTCTTCTCTGTCTCTGATTATCAAGGGGAAAAAACTAAGTGCAGGTTATAATGAGCAAGGGTGCTTCTTTGAAAATTGTGAATTTCATAGCCCCTGGATGAGAGGTTGGAGGGTGTGGTCTATGGATAATACAGGTATATTGAAAATGCATTATTTCTTTGAAAATTTCTTTTCTGCTCCTGAGTGTTGAAAATAATACGAAGTTCATGGTTATGATGAATAAAGTTGCCTTTTCCATAATTTTGAATTTTATTCCCCAAGGGGTCATTAGTTTTGGTGTTAGGGCAGGGCCCTATTGGTTATATAGTGAAAATGCATTATTTCTCTTCCTTCTTTGATCATGTGCATCAGATTTATACCAATCTTAGTACGTAGTTATGATAAGTAACAGTGTCTCTTTCAAAATTGTGAATATCATGGCCACTTGGTTCGGGATTCTGGTGCTAAGGCATGGTTCTATTGAATACACAGTGAAAATGCATTAATTTTTTGAAAATCTTTCTTCAAGTTGCTTCTGGGTATGAAGCAGATAAACTGAGCCCATGGTTATATTAATCAAGGGTACCTCTTCCAGATTTGTGAAATTTGTAGCTCCAGGGTCAGCAGCTCTTATGTTTGAAGATGGAGTTGTCTATTGAATTTATATAGTGAAAATTCCTTAATATTTTTGAAAATCTTTTCTTCTCCTGGGTATTAAACAGACAGACTATTAAGGTCAGACGATACATTCCTCAAATATCTGTTTTGGTATTCCTTCGAATTATGTGGAAAATATTCAAAATTTTAATAACCTTTTGATTTCTAAACGGATTTCTAATTGTCTTTAAAAAATGAAAGACCAAAATATGTGTTATTGGCTAATTGAGTTTTTTCCAAAAGGACTTTATAGGAAAAACATCCTCTGGTATCTTGCACAAATGCCTGGTAAGGTACCTTAATTTTTTGCGAGTAAACATGTTAAAGTAGCAATATTTCAATGACAAAATCTTAGAAAAAATTATGCATTATTGAGGAACGTATCGTCTGTCTTTAAATGAGCAAAGTGCCTCTTCCTGAGTTCCAAAATTATGAATTTCATGGCCCTAGGGTCAGGGGTTTTTCTTTCTCTTGCCCTTAGATTTAGTTTTGCTCAAATCATGACCCCTTTGTAGAGCTGGACCACAATGGGAAATGAAAGTTTTACAGAGGAATATATAGCTAAAGATCTTTAAACGTCTTCTCGAGAACAGCAAAACCATGGGTAGTCATATTCATATGGGAGCATCCTCAAGTAGCACTGCCACAGATTTAAGTTTGTTCAAATCATGAACCCCAGGTGTAATGGTTGAGTGGGGCCACAATTTTGGATCAAAGTTTTACATAGAAAAACATAGGAAAAATCTTTAAATAAAAATTAACTGTTCAAGAAAAATAAAACCTTGGTTAGTCATATTCATACATATGGTTGCATCTTCAGGTAGACTCAAGTTTTTTTTTTTTTTTTTTTTTTTTCAATCATGATCCCTTGGGGTATAGGACTGGCATAAAAAACCTATGCAGAGTGTTTAAATGCCTTTTTAAATTAATTCTGATGTAGAATTTTTTTGTTTTATTTATCAATCAGACATTCAGCTGTATAATACACTGTAGTGTACATACTGATGCATCAGTTGAAAATATTTTTCTCTCAGTTTGTCATTTAAGCTCACCTGAGCTGAAAGCTCAAGTGAGCTTTTCTGATCACCCATTGTCCGTCATCCCTCTAGCTGTCTATCCATCAGTCTGTAAACTTTTCATATTTTCAACTTCTTCTCAAGAACCACTGGGCCAATTTTAACCAAAATTGGTACAAAGCATTCTTGAGTGAAGGGGAGTTTAAATTATAAGGATAAAGGGCCAAGCCCCCTTTCAAGGGGAGATAATCAAGAAAAGACAAAAATAGGGTGGGGTCAGTAAAAAATCTTCTTCTCAAGAACGACTCAACCAGAAAAGCCGAAACTTATGTGGAAGCATCCTGGGGTAGGGTAGATTCTAAATTCTTCAAATCATGACCCCTGGGGGTAGGGCGGGGTCACAATAGGGAATCCAATTTTTACATTGAAATATGTAGAAAATATCTTTGAAAATCTTCTTCTCAAGAACCACTTTGCCAGAAAAGCTGAAACTTATGTGGAAGCATCCTTGGGTAGTGTAGATTCTAAATTATACAAATCATGACCCCTAGGATAGGGCGAGGCCACAATAGGGAATCCAAGTTTTACATTGAAATATGTAGAAAATATCTTTAAAAATCTTATTTTCAAGAACCAAAAAGCTGAAACTAATGTGGAAGATTCTAAATTGTTCAAATCATGACCCCTTGGGGTAGGGCGGGGCCACAATAGGTATTACAAGGGGGAAATCAGATGAAGAACAGCGGGGCCAAAGTTACTCAGGTTAGCATTGTGGTCCAGGGGCCTCTTGTTTTACCCTAAAAAATAAGCACTATTGATATGATGTTACCCATTGCAAAATATGTTGTTAATGATGAGGGTAACAATATTACCATGATTCATTCAGAACAGATCACTCTAACCTCCGACTTACTTCAGCCAAAATTCTTTGTGAAGATATAACCATGTTGATAAATATTGAATTATCAGAAAATTTTACAATATGTACTAATAAATGATTGATTATAATTGAGAGTAATCAATTGGTGCCAGGGATCGACATTAATGGTTGTCCAATTGCCTGAGACAAGTAAATTCTCAGTTTGGGCAAGTGAAATTGTCAAAGTACTTGTCCAATCGAGCAAGTGATTTTGTTCATGCAAATGCACATATTTATTTAGATTACATTAATTTATTAATAAAACAATAAATTGAACACTTGATTTCTGCCACGCACCTGATTGACAATGTTTCCTTGGTAGCGTTTCTGGATTATACCATTCATTTTAAAATCAGGTTCGTTATTTTCCTTTGTAGTAAATACGCTCTACGTCTAACAATATTTTGTTAACTTCTTATTAGGAAATTAGATTATTTATTCACGCACAGAATATATGTACAGCGTAACATAATGTATCCTGATCAAGATAAGATGTATGTTTCGTAGCAACTACATGTATCTTCTTTTAGCGTTGCTTCAGAGTTATCTCTGAAAATCACGATTCACAAAAGGATCCTACCGAAAATAATTTTTTTAAAATATGAATTTTATTACATGTATAAGGAAATTAAAAGGAAATGGTTATTGCTGCATGGCAGTGTGTGTTAGAAGGTTAAATTTACAAGTACAGTTGTATACATTTATGTACAAATGCAGCATCATTTTTTTTCACTGACTGGTATATATACTGATATTTGATCACATTTTTTCTTATCATAACGTTTACAGAAATTAATTTTTTGCTTATTAAGTTCTTTCCTAATTTTGGGCAACCAAGTTTTGCATTGAGACAAGTCAAAGTTTGAGATCACTTGCCCAAAGGGCAAGTGAATCTGAAAGTTAATGTCTATCCCTGGATACAGTGCCTCTGGCCTGATGTGTTATTTTTACACCGGACCGGAATGTCTGATGTCTCAGAGTTTGGTTTTGAGCTTAACTATTTCGACGCAGTCATTTCAATGTTTTTTTTTATAAGTAGAAAATATACAATTCCAAATGCATAAATAAACATCATTAAGACACATGGACTGTCTACAGAATTATGTGGGAGCGATCCCTGGTAAAAGAAAAGCTGTTGGGCCTATACTTAAGAGGTTTTTCCTTTGTATTCATTGCATTAATTAAAAATTACACAGGACTGAATGTCCAGTGTGGTCCAAAAAACTTTCGCATAGACTGACTTATAAGCTCTGAATTGAAAACAGTTTTATGCAAGAAAAAATTAAAATCTAGTTAAGGGAACTCTATATGCAGCATATCAAACATGTTTAATGTGCTTTGATTTAGAGGACTTATGAACATTATTTAGTTTCAGTACATTTATTTGATGATTGATTCTTTAAATTTAGATTTGGTAGATATTTATTGAAAAAATAATTTGTATTTTTAATGTAAATGTTAAGTAAAATAATGCATTTCTCCAAAAGCCAGTAGACAGTGATAAATATTCCTCACGAGTCAAAAATGATAAATATTCCCCACAAGTCAACAATGATAATAAATATTCCCCACAAGCCCACAGTGATAAATATTCCCCACATGTCAACAATGATAAATAGTGATAAATATTCCCCATAAGTCAATAGTGATAAATATTCCCCACAAGTCAACAGGACTAAAAAGTGAAAATTATTCCCCACAAGTCAGCAGCACAGGTACTTATGGATAGGACCCCCCCCTCCCTTAGGACTTGGACTTTTTTCAGAAATCATATTTATTACACTTTTTAATGTAAATGTTAAGTAAAATAATGCATTTCTCCAAAAGCCAGTAGACAGTGATAAATATTCCTCATGAGTCAAAAATGATAAATATTCCCCACAAGTCAACAATGATAATAAATATTCCCCACAAGCCCACAGTGATAAATATTCCCCACATGTCAACAATGATAAATAGTGATAAATATTCCCCATAAGTCAATAGTGATAAATATTCCCCACAAGTCAACAGGGCTAAAAAGTGAAAATTATTCCCCACAAGTCAGCAGCACAGGTACTTATGGATAGGACCCCCCCCCTCCCTTAGGACTTGGACTTTTTTTTCAGAAATTATATTTATTACACTTATTTATCAGGTGTACCATAGGAATAAATCTGTAAAACCCTAAAATAATCGTTCCACACAAAAAACACCCCACTGTACATTATAAGAGAGAAATATGCCACATGTTTACGTTGTTCCCCCTGCTGGTCTTTCTGGGTTTAAAAACATGTATTGGATGTATGGTGGTGGAAAGTGTTAAAGTAGTCCCCCCCCCCCCCCGCAATTTTTTTTTAGTAATTGGTCCCCTACCGGTGCAACCGGAGGGGACTATAGGTTTTAGGTTTCCTCTGAGTCTGTCCGTCTGTCTGTCCCTCTGTCTGTCTGTCCCACTTGGTTTTCCGTACTTTTTTCCTAAACGCTTGCGGATATTGAGTGATTTTTGGTATGTGAGTGTATCTTGATGTGTTACAGATCAGTTTGCATTTCGTTCCGCTTCATTGATTTTGACGGAATTACGGCCTTTTCAATTTTTAAGGGTTTTCCGCAATTTTCTTCTAAACGCTTTCAGATATTGAGCTGATTTTTGTTATGTGACTTTACCTTGATAAGTTGTGGATCAAATTTGCATTTCGTCCCGCTTCATTGATTTTTGACGGAATTATGGCATTTTCAATTCTTAACGGGAACCAGATTACACTTGGCGGTAGGGGACTAGTATTGCTAATGCAATACTCTCAGAGTGCTTGTTAATTATTAATTTGTATGTTACAAAGCAAGCAAAGATGCAGTATTATTGGAGCTAGGTTAGGTCACATTATGAGGTCACAATTTTTCATGGAGATAAAAAAGTTTCTGAAGAACAGCAGAGCTGAAATGGCTCAAGTGAGCATTGTTGTATATTAAACCTCTTTTAGATCATCTTTTATTTAAGAAGACTTCAGCTTAAGGAAGCTATTGATCTTAGGTAGAGTTGACTTCTTTTTCTCTTTGAAGATATGGGGAGAATTGGAGTGGAAAAGAATCAGATGGAGACCCAATGTCAGTTCACATGGAATACCAGGGTTTGCAAAGGAGGACATTGGAACTGGCTTAAGTATTCGAACTTCTGATGGCAGTTGATGAAAGAAGATGTCATACTTAGGGAAACATTAAATTACTTTGAATGGTAAGATTTGATTATTATACCCTGTAAAGTTCAGTATATAAACATGATATACTGTAAATCAACTTTAACTTGCCTGCAAGAAAGATCTGCAATTTTTGCAACCTTCATTACTTAGAAATATTTCTCATCACAAACCAATCATAAGTTGTGACAGCTATTGTATTATGGTAGAATGTTTCCTTCACTGGAAAAATTAATGCTTACTGTTGCAGATGGATTTCAGAGTAAAGAATCCTGAATAAAAATTGTCGGGAATAATAGTTGATTTACAGAATACATGATTTTGCAGTTAAACATAGGTATTTTGAATACTGATATCTCGAGTACAGTGGATATGTCAGTAATTTTTAAGTCCCTATCTTTTATTATATTTAATAAGTATTTTACCCTTCAGTGCTCCAAGTTGCGACTAAAATGGTCGCATTTGCGACCAAAAATTTAAATTTGCGACTGGAAATTAAAACTAACTCGCATTATTGCGACTGAGAAAATTTGGGCTGGCGATTGTCAATTTTTATGATTGGGATCAAGATTACTTTTTTCCCAAGCTTCTCTGTCAAGAAAATGTTTGAGGACATTCCTAAACTTTGTTAAGCGTCACAAAGACTGAGATTACGTAATGATATGCCAGCATGCTGTACAGTCAACAGAACGGCTGTCAAAATGTTATACTCTTTTTAAAACCTGATCTTGTTAATGGAGCATTTGGCTAATATAGCTTGAATATCATCATGTTTTGGTGATGTGGACAACAACTGTTTAATACATAGGTTCATAAAATAAACATAACAAACAGCTGACGAAGTCAGATCTGAATAGTTCAAACTTATGCACGCATCAGTCAAACTTGCTACAATTTCATTTGAATTAATTTTAATTCTAGGATAAAACACTTGTGTTCTTCATTGCACAACCATACTGGTGGTTCTATGAACTACTATTTCATGAGTGGTTTCTTCAGCCTAGCAAATTATTAAGTCACAGTAATAAGTAATCTTTGATAAATTTTAAAAAAGACATCGTAGGTACATAAATGAGTGTTGTTCCTTGCTTTTACTATATGCTACATGTAAATGTGTTTTCACAAAATGTTTTCACAATGGCGAGTGAAATATTTGTTGATTGCGACCAGAAGTTCTGAAATGGCGACAAAAAAAGTTTAGGTCGTCATTTAGCGACCTGGTAGGAAGTGTGACTTGGAGCACTGCCCTTAACATCTTGAATCTTCCCGATATCTCCAAGTTTTTCCACAGTTCTATGGATAGTTCGAGATAACGGGGTTTGAGTATCAGGCTTGACATTTATTTTAACAAGTACTAGACATGTCAGGCTACCTTCCATAATTTGAATTACTAACCATAAAATCACTTGCCCTGACCAAACTTCTTATAATTGTTAATTTTAATTGGTAACTTTTGAAACTATCTCTCATGCGTGTCAAGATTCTGACAGAGTAGCCATTTTGAGTCTGGTTCATTAATTGGGACATGAAAATTATGAGCCTAAAAGACATTCAACAAACTTTACTAAAATGATTATCCTAAATATTAATAAATACAGAAAGTGTTACTTGGTAAGTATTTATACCATATCAATTGATACGTTTCAACCCAGACTTGTCTACTACAGCTAAAAATATATATTATAAAAAATTTTATTGCTAAAAATAACAATTGTGTTATGAAGGGATTTCAACATACAGAGCAAAGGTTGTGCTTACATTTGTACAAATAAGATAAATTTTTTTTTACAATTTTGTATATATTTATTCAAAAGACTGAAAAGGATTTAACAGTTATCAACCTGACCAAAAGGTCTAGTTCACATACATTGCACACAACCATACCATTCATTTAACCAAGTTGGTCTGACGTGCCTTAGTGTTAAACCCTGACTGTATTATTATTTTTTTTAGCAAGATCGCAAAGTTCATTTCAGATTACTGGTTAGCCATTTTTGGGGGACATGTATCAGTACTATAAAGACATTTATAGATGAGTCTTTAAATACATTGCATCAGAATACATGAATATGGTTAGGACATATAGAGTTTGTCATGTCTATCTTCCGTCTTTCTGTCCTTCCGTTATGCTTTGTATTTAGAACAGTTTAAAGTTCAGTTTCAAAGAAACTATGACAGGATCTTTTTATCAAACTTCATATGCTGATACACACGGAGGAGAAATATTCAACTGCATCAACATTTCATGATCATGACCTTTCCTTTGACCTTGACTTACTTTTCTTAAATTAGTGTTTAGCTCAGTTTTAAAGAAACTATTCAAGATATTTTTACCAAACTTCATATGCTGATACATACTGATGAGAGCTATTCAACTGCATCAACATTTTTTTTTACCTTGACATTTCCTTCGACCTTGACTTCACTTTTCTTAAATTAGTATTTAGCTCAGTTTTTAAGAAACCATTCTGGACAGTGTTATCAAACTTCATATGTTGATACAAAATGAAGTAAGCTTTTGAAGGGCATCAACCTTTTTTTACTTTAACCTTTCCTTTGACCTCACTTTCTAAAATTTGTATTTTGCTTAGTTTGAATGAAAGCATTTAAGATATTTCTACATAAGCTTATACACTTAAACAGAATTTGGTGAGAATTTATCAACTATATCTTTTTTTTAGATTTCAATTTCAATTTTGAAGACCGTTCATAGTAGCTCAATCAGTAGAGTGCTCGCTCCGTGATCAGGAGGTCGTGAGTTCGAATCTCGGCTGCGACTGACCTAAGTCGATAAAAAAATGGGTAGCAACTGTTCCTTTGCCATGCGATCAGCACTTTGAAGTGAAAGTTGTGGGTCCTTTGGATGAGACCTTAAAAACTGAGGCCCCGTGTCACGGCAGGCATTGGCACTATAAAGATCCCTCACTGCTCATTGGCCCTGAGTGTCGAGTAAAAGTCAAAATTCATACACTACTATTTGATAATGACCAATTGATATTTGCCCCCAAAATCAAACTTTGACAGAGAAATGCATAATTATGTTCTAAAACAGGGGGATATATTTTCATCAGCCATGACATCATATGTTAGATATGACATCAGGAAGATGACCTATAGTCAAATTTTCCATAACTTTTGTAAAATGATAATGGACTGTATCAGTGAAATATGTTAATATTGTTATGGAGCAGATTTGCGCTTTTTAAATTTTAGAGTAAAAATTGAACAAATTGTGTACATTTTGTCCTCTTTCTGATATTAAATAACACAAAATCTAAATAATCTGTGGTGTCCTAGAAACAAAAATTGCCAATGACCTGCTTTGAAACCACGATATTTTTTGTTAATTCTGATTTTTCTGCCCCCGCCATAAAATGGGCAGGGGAATATAGTGTTACTCTGTTCCATCATTCCATCATCATTCACTTCCCATTCATTATCTCTGCAACAGTTGCACACATTCAACGCAAATATGACATATGGATATATTTATAAATGCAGGTCAAGGTCGAATTTGGTTATGGTCCGATGATTTTTGACAGAGTTATTCCTCTTGAACTTAGAAAAAATAGAAATGTTCAGTTTCCACTCTCTTACTTTTGTAGGGATGTATATATAAGGTTGAAATTGCATGTGCAGGTATTTTACCAAAAAATACAGGTCAAGTTCAAATTTGGTCATGGTCCGATGATTTTTGACAAAGTTATCTCTCTTGAACTTAGAAAAAATTAAGAAATTAAGTGCATGGCGTTCGACACATCTAGTTCATACAATATATACAATTCAGGACATTTCAAGAAATTTTAAAAATATGACATTTAAGGGGGGGGGGGATTTATATAGCTCTTTTAATGTTGCATTACTAATATACCCGCGACTGGGCATTCATGTCCTATGGACATCTTTGTTGTCTTTTCATTCTGTGAGATTTATAATATTTAAGTTTCTAATATGCTTATCATTTGAATGCCTACTAAGATCATGATTTTGTAGTTGGTATTTCACAAATACTCTGTGCCATTTGACAAACTTAGAATACTGCCAAATGCAATTTACATCTCGGGTGCGGGGTCTGCAATTACAAAAATTGGCAATTAGTTGTATTTTTTGCTGATATTTCCTACATTTCTTTAAATGCTCATGACCAATGCTTTCTTTTCAGATATTACCTAAAAACATCAAACAACAGGGGAAAAAAGAGGACTGCCTATTTCCGATTTATCTTTACATAACAACACCCAAAGCACTACCATCAAAAAATTAAAATCAATATATAGGAAGAAAAAATGAAGACATTGATTAAAAGAAAAGAAGTTCAAAGAGTTTCGAATATTATGTCAAGTTGTCAACGACAACACAGATCTGGAAATGGATTTTCTTGCCTAATAATTATATTAAATGCATGTTCATGCATGACTTTTGTTCCAACTGTGTTCCCTGTATCACAATTCCTCCATCATGTATACATGTAGAGCAAGGGCAATGTTAAAAAACATCACATCTTGTGTAACACCAACAAAACAGCTTTTTATTGTTTGGACATTAAATGCTTATGATTATACTTAAAATTGCAAGAAAAAGGACTGTACCTGTGTAAAGTACAATGCAGCAATATACAAAAAAAAAGATTGTCCAACAATATTTTTGTCTCTGTTATTTGTGTTGTACTGGTATACACTTATGTATTGGAGCATGAGAAATAAAATAAAAAGATTTCTTGATTTAAAGATGAAGAAAGTTTGGGAAAGTCTTGGAATTAGTGTTTGAAAGGTATATATATAAACTATGTTGTGTATAAATCTTTATATACTTTTGTTAAATCAGAGTGCATATTTCTCTAGATAAGTAAAGAAGTTAAATAGAGCAATTTATCAAATAATCATTCAGTAAGTAATGCATTCATTTAATAGGTTCATTAATGTTAAGCACTTTGATAGAAACAGTTGTAAAGGAATATTTTTTTCATATATTGAGAATTTAAAGAATTTTTAAATCAGTCAGTGAAAATAATTCCTTATCTTTATACAGTCATGTATGTACAAATGTTTTCACCATAAAATAACTATGCAAAGAATGGAATAAAACATGTCACTGTCTTGAATTGTTTACTTTATGCATTCACGAATATCAATGTTGGCCTGTGTGGAAGGAGAAAGGTTCATGAAATTATAGTATCAATAAGGAGTATATACAGTTCTTTAAAATATTCAGCAGAATTTCTTTACTTGCATGTTGCCAGACATTATTAATTAATTAGGGCTCCGCTCTGCGGGCGCCGTATAGTAATCAGTCTGTCTGTCCGTCCGTCCGAGATCTCTTGTCCACAGCATATCTTCTATCTCCTTGGCCCAATCTGGCTCATACTTCACCCACAGAGTGTCTTTGGGTAAAGGGTGTGCAGTGACCTTGAACCATGTTTCTAGGTCTAAGGTTAAGGTCATAGCAGAATTATATGAAAAATCCTTGTCCGGAGCATATCTTCTCTCTTCTTATCTCCATACTTCACTCGCAGAATGCCACTGGTCAATCGATGTGCAGTGACCTTGAACAAAGTTTCTAGGTCAAGGGTCAAGGTCAAAAATAGCCTCTCTGTCTAAAATCTTTGTTCGGTGCATAATTTCTTTCCCTTGAGTCCAGTTAGCCTCAAACTTTACCAACTGACTTAGGGTATTGAACATTTGTGATTTTCCTTCCATATTTTGATAGAGGATATGCAACAATTTTCATAGAGGATATGCAACATTAGTGATTTGTGTGCTGTCTTTTGATAGAGGGTATGGAGCACTCGTGATCCTTATGCCATTTTTTAATTAACAAGGATGACATAGAAGCCCTTTAGACTCAAACAACACATCCCTTAATAGTACACAAATGTTCCTCTTCAAAGTAAACTCTTTTCAGCTACTTTACCTTTTCATGTTCGGTTTTGAAAGCGGGGCCCTTTGAGATGGCCACCATCTCAATGATATCTGGTTATGAGTGTGAGGTTACAAGCCTTATAATTCTTTTATATGAAAATAATTTTAACTACTAACTTTAATTGTAAATGTCATGTTATCATGACAGTTGTAATTGTCATGATCCCAGCAAGCATTTTGGTGTGCTGAAATGTATCAATTATAAAGAAAAAGGTGGGAGATTTGTCTTGGAAAAAAGGGAACATATTACAAGAATTATTAAGAAAAAATAGTATGAAAGAAAGCAAAGGCCATCACTATTATTATATGAATTAATAATCTTAACTCTCTGATTGGCTGAGATCCAACATTATTGAAAAAATACAACATGAACTTTAAGTTCACCTGCACGTGACTTTCCAGGTGAAAATATGAATTTTTAGCTGAAATAATGTAGCCCTCTTCAATATTTTTCATCTGATTTAAAAAAAAAAAAAATCGGAGAGGGCTACGTTGTTGCAGCTCATGAATTTTGTCTACATTGGACTAAAAAATAAATTGAGAACTTCCTAATGGATAAAATTAGATCTGAAAAGTTATTTCACCCGTAGAGGGAAGGGGGGCACTTTTTTTCTGAACGATGTCTACTATCGGTTAAGTATACATGTAAAATGTTCGTGGAAAGGCTTTTTGATCTTCCTTTTTGATACAGTATAATCTTGTCACCGGCGACATTTATGTACCTTCCATAGCTCCACATATTGTCGTCTGTCGGTCTATCTTATTGCAGGCATACAACAAAATTTGAGTACCCTGAATGCACATATTAAGATAATGCTAATGATGATGAAAATGATGAGGAAAGTTAAGAAGGCTTGCTAGCAGACAGGTTGTACATACATGAAATATCTCTTTAATTTAAAATGTCTGAAATATCTATCGAAATTAATTGCATCCTACTATTAATTTAACTTACATTGATATCCAATGCTTTTGAAGATTTAACCAATATCACATACATGTAGCTTCTATGGAAGCAGGTTTATTGAGAAGACTTTTAATCAAAAGGGTCATGAGCCACATGGTTTACCTGAGAAACTCTTTGCCTGCTGTTCTACATTAAGATCCCCCCTATACACTGTACATGTATTCGGATGTAAATTTCTGATCGCCTTTTGTGACCCAACCCTATATACAGCGGACGTGATTTGATAAAAAATGAATATTTCTAGTCTCTACCATTGGATTTTTCCACTGTAGTACGGTTCCTTAATTATGGCTTTGCAGTTCTTTTAAAATCTACACCAAGTAAGGAAGCTTCCATACAAGTTTCAGCTTTTTTTTTTTGGTCTTGTGGTTCTTGAAAAGATTTTAATGACTCTACCATATCTTTGACTTTTCTTGATTATTTTCCACTAAGAGTGATTTAAAAAAGTCACTTGAGCTTCCAGCTCAGGTGAGCTAAAATGTGGACCCCCCCCCCCCCCCCCCGACCACCATCCATAATTACATTGGCACATGTATAAGAATAGCAAAAAATATTATCAAGATACATATTACTACTGAATTCAAAAACTCTATATAATGACAACTGACAAAAGAGAATATTCAGGAATTCTGAAATCTTTGTAAATCATAGTCGTGTACACCGATCCTTGACAAAAAATTTTTACCACAAAATTTTCTCCCTTCATTATTGCGAGTAATTCTACTGTCTGTCTGTCTCCCTCCGTGCGTGTTTGTGTGAGTGTGTTTGTCAATCTCTTCACGGCCCTAGTAAATATTCGCTATGATTACACAATTGAATAATTCATATCTCCTATTGGCTGAGATTCAACAAAGAAGAAAAAACACTACGTTATATTCACATGCATGTGATTTTACAGGTGAATATAAGGATTTATGTTCTCGATACCAATAGTTTTGGAAAGCTATTTCACTTGCTACCGACTTCCACTCAGGTGAGCATAACATTAGGGAATATATAATTTGGGGTGGGGATGGTTTTGGTGTGGAAGGGACCCCCCCCCCCCCAAACACTTTTTCCTGAACGTAAATTTTTACTTTTAATTCAATTAGAATAAAAACGTTCATTGAAAGGCTGGTTCCTCACTAATGGTTCTTAATACCCCACCCCTAACCCCACCAAGCATCAAACAAAATTTGAAGTAAAGAGAATTCTATTTTCGTTAGGCTAATCAAAGATTTTCCCCTGATAATGCCCCCATTGCCCCCCCCCCCTTCCCCCCGCCGAAATCGATCCTATCAAAGACCCTGACATTATTTCTTTTATTATCATAGCAACTAGAGTTGATTTCAAAAAATCCAATTTAATACGACTGGTAACGTTTATTTAACACTGATTCTCTCATTGCAGTTGGCTTGTAACAAGTAAGATGGCATGAACTGCTTAATGATTTTATATCATTTCATCATTGAATTATATATCAAAACAATTATTGCTGTTTGAGATCAATGCAATGATTTAGCCATCTTTGATGTACAATATTCATCTCGCCCTTCGGGTTCAGGTGGCTAAATCATCGTATTGAACTCAAAACAACAATAATAATTGTATGAAATAATTTATCGGCGACAAAAAGTGCAAATGTTCACAATACATATTGTCGCCGACGACAGCATGTGCCGATGCTTGACTGTACATTAACTTTATCGTCCATTATGCAGAAGGAAAGTAAGGAATTGTCACCGGCGACAATATGTATACCGATGGACGACAATATGTGCAATGTGGGTAGGTACATATTGCCACCGACGACAATACGAACAGAACGACAATATGTACCGTCACATCCCTTCACACGAAATAAAATTTGGAATTTAGAAATTTTTTTTACCCCCACCCTCTCCCCTCAGGTTTCAAAATCGATGCAACGTGCCTGATATTTTTTTCAAATTGTATTAAAAATACAGAGTCAGAAATTCCAAATTAATACAACTATATAGTTATTTTTATTTTATCTTCAGCAAATGTAAACAAGAAAGGTTGCATGTTAGCTTAACAAGTTTGTAGTATTCAATCATTGAATCAAATAATAAAACAATTATACAATTAAACTAATAGGTATCTCGAACATTGATATCTCTAATACCATGGATATGTCCAGGTAAGATGGAAGTCCCCAGTTCTTTTTTTATGCATTTTAAACCTAATATCTCGAATCCTCCGATGTCTCGAAGTTTTTTCTTGATCCCATGGAGGTCGAGATAGCAAAGTTTGACTGTAATGTTGTTTTTCCAGGTCAGTACGATGATTTATACATACAACAAGTTATTATATCCCCGCTCCGAATGAGAAGAAGGGGTATACTGTTTTACCCTTGTGTGTCTGTATGTCTGTCTTTTTGTCTATCTGTCGGTAACAAATTTTCGTCGCAGTTTTCTCAGCAACTACTCATCGCATGTACTTAAAATTTTAGCACACACTTTCTTTAGGCATGTCATATGTTGGGATTCATTTTTGTACGAATTCTTGTTTATTCGTGCGTCTGTCTGTATCAAATTTCCGTCGCAGTTTTCTCAACAATTATTTTTTGCAGTTCACATGAGAGCGTATATTCACATCAGATTACTAGTGAGTATTGCCTCACAGACTTCTTGTTTAATATGTGTGCAAAGTTAGAAATTAAATACCCCTTCACAGTGTACAGTAACAAAATTTAAGATCCTACCAGCTAGGGTTTTGCACGCAGGCACGTTATATATTTACATTTATATGAAAAATGTAAGCCAAGTGGGTCAATCGTTCTCACTGAAGAATGCAAATG